TAAAAATGTGGGGGAAAAGTATAACCCTAATTATCTATTACAAACCATAAGTAGTTACATAATTATAAACAACGTGAAAAGAGTAAACTATGCCTAAATGTAGAATAGAGAAAGGAAATTGTTTTGGTGATCTTCTTGATAAAAGGAGGTTTGGATGATTAAACTAATAACCTAATTAATTTAATTAATAATAAAAAAAGAAATTGATTAGTTAAAACCTAAAAACCCTAAACTGATTTTAATTAAAAAAAGTTTAGTAAAAAAACCTACAAAACTAAATTAATTGATTAAATAGAAAACCTAAAAATTTAATTTGAGTTAATTAAATAAAAACCTAAAATTAATTAGGGTTTATAAAAAAAATTAAAGATTTGAAAAAAGGTTTTTGTGAAAATAAAAGAAAATAAGAGAAAGAGTAAGAAGAAAAGAGAATTTATGGAAAAGAACACAAAATGGTAGGGGTGGGTGTTGAACCCGCCCCTCAGAACTTCCAGCCAATACATTCACCACTAGGCCAGGCGCCCCTTGGTGACAGAGAGAGGAAACTAGCGCGCTTTATTATCTGCAAAAACAAATAAGTTATAAAACATCAAAATTCCAAAAGGCTGGTGTTGTACCAAAAAGTTTTCCCTCTCACTTGTCAAGAATTTGCATACAAGATCTCCTTGGGCTCAAGACTGCACTAGGTTTGATCAGCTCAAGACACCTCCTTAAGTATTGATGACCAAAATTAGGGTTTGAGATTGCACAAGGATATTTTAACTTTCAATGCTTCATATGACTTTCATGGATCATTATGGACCCCCAAGATTACTTATGTCAAGTTTCAAGCTTTGGATCACACTTTTGCCCAGTCAATTAAGCAGTTGACCTAAAAATCAGTTGTATTGGGGAAAAAGTCAACTACGGCCAATTTACAATCAAACTTCATAATTTCTTATCCACATCAACATTTTAAACTCATATGTATCATTCTATCAAGTTTGGACCATAATTCCTCAAGAAATTTGATCAAATCTTTAAAAGGGCAAAATGGTTAAAATTAGGGTTTTGACTGAGAAAGGGCAATTTCTGATTTTTGATCTAGCAAATGATCAATTGGTTTAAGGAATGATCTAAAGATTCAAATTGCATAATTTTGACCTAATGACATGGCTCAAAACATTGCAAGTCCAATGGATTGACAAATGAATTTTGCAGTCAACTGATCAAAAGTCAACTATATACTGAAAAGTCAAACTTTGACTTTTTGGTCAAAATCAAATTTCAAAGATCACAATTCATCAAAGCATGTCAAAATATGAAACTTATCCATCAAGAAATCAAAAATTCAAGATTTCATTTTGAAAAGTTAAAATTTCTAAGGTTAGAAATTTTTCTAAGTGTTGAAAATTTCTTATTTTTTCATAACTTTAAGCAAACTTTTCATCATGATGCAAGCTGATTCAAAAGATACTTTCAACATGAAAGTTGTAGATCTCCATGAAATTTACAACTTTTCTTCACACCACTACTTACAAAAGTGCTTGGATCTCAAGTTATAATTTTAAGAATACATGGTCATGAAACAAAACACCTAGTGAAATTTTGCCCTAATTTGGTCAGGATTTTGACCCAACTTCATGGAACTTTTTAATATAGTTCCAAGGGGAATATTCAAAATCAATTCAAATATGGGTTGTAGAGAACATTTCAAGCTTTCCAAAATGTCCAAGAACTCCTTGAGATCATTTTTGAGTAGGGAGAATCGAAGAGATGAAGTTAGGGTTTTATCACTTGAATTACAAGGCATTTTGTGATGAACAAAATTCAAATTCAAAGTTATGCTACATAAACTCTACTTTTCAGGCCTCAAACTTGTTAGGCACTCCATAATTAATTTCTTTCACAACTGTTAGAGGTCTCATTTCAAGCATTCAATGCAAGGTCATGCTTTATATCCATTTTGGGAAGAAAGTGTACATTGCCATTTTATTAAAGTGACTTTTTATACAAAAACTTGTTCTTGAGCCTTGCACTTGTTCTCTTCTGGTCATACAAGTCCCATAACCCATAAGAAACTTGTTAGACACTTACAATCACTCAGCCCATGCTTATACTACACATTGAAACTTGTTTTCCCACTTTTCTTCAAAATCAAGTAACCTAGCAATTAGCTTGAGACTTGTACTTCTGATTGTCAAAGGCTCTGAAACTCTTTTGTTTATGCATACACAAACCATTTGCCACAAATACACGCATGTTTAAGCCTTGAAAACCCTTAGAACACATAATCACCAAAAACACTTCAAAACTTGTCATTTTTGAGTTTTAAAGCCAATCTTCAAATCTACTCGTGCGTTTCTTGGCATTTTGCTTTCAAAAGTTTCTAAAAAACATACACAAACAATCCCAACCCCTACAGAACTACTGTAACACCTCCATCATCATCCACCATTTTCAAAAATAGAGCTTTGCACTTGGACTTCTCTAGAACTCCTCAGGCACTTTTAGCTCAAGCTAAGTATCCCTTTAGCTTCATGGGAACTTGAGGAAGCTAACCCAATCATTAGAACTCACTGAAAGCTGCTCAAACTTCAAACCCGATACCCTCTTGCAAGGTAAGTTTTCTAACTTTGGAAATTTTCATACAGGCATCATCAATGATTTATTTGTGAATGAAACATGTAGATATCATTGCCCTAAATCTAATCATGTTCATAGTTTTCATTAATTTTGTTTGAGCTTAGAGAATTTTAAGATCGAAATTTATGAAATTTTTAGGGTTCAGATTAGGGCAAATGAAATTCATGTTTGTATTTGATCTATAGCTTTAATGCTTTACATTTTTGAAATCGTGAGGAAATTTGCTACAAGTTTCATGTTTACAGTTTTCATTTTTGTTGAGAAATGAACAAGTTACAGTTGGTCTGGCTGGAGGTTGAAGATGAAGTGTAAATCAGGGCACGTTTTGTATCATATATTTATTGTTTTGCTTATGTTAACAGATGTATAGCCACCCCAGTGGTAGAAGCGCGCGCCTGTAACCTTTGGGACCTGGGTTCGAGCCCTAGTGGTACCCTTTTGATTTTTTTTCATATTTTTGCATTTTCTGACTTTCCTTTTTGCAGGTGCTGGGCTTTCCTTTGGGCCTATATGTTTTTTTTTCTTGTTGCTGACCCCCCTGCTGGCTTCTCACACCACTGACCCAGTTTTATTTTTCTTTTTCTTATTTTTTATTTATTTGTTTTCTTAATTATTTTTCTAATATTAAAAAATCATAAAAAAATATAAAAATAATAGATTTATATTTTGACATATTTTATTTATTTTTTCTCATAAAAAATTATTTCATTTAATCAATACTTTATTTATTTCACTAATTATCTTTGTAAATTTAATTAAAAATAGGTTTTAGTTATTTTCTTTTACACAAATTAAAATATATTATTTTAATATAAAAAAAGGCCAAAAATATTTTATAATACTATAATTTATTTTCAAGACAAAAATACCAAAAATATTTTTCTTAAACTTAATTTCTTTTTAATCAATTAATAGATTTAGGGTTTTATTTAAAATCTTTTCTTAGTAACTTTAGATTTTACTTTTAATTAATTATTTTTCCCTTTAGTTAATTAAGATAAAATCAAAACCCATTTTCTCTAAAAAAATCCAAACAAATATCCATTTTCTTCACATTTACATTCTTGTACATTTATTCATTTTGTACATTATGTTCATTTAATTTCTTGTACATTTATATCAATTCAATATGGTTATAATGGATTGATTAGGTTTATTTTCTTGCAATCCCCATTTACAATTTGTACACCCCCTCCCACAAGTATTGTAATAGCGTAGTAACTTTAAATTCCGTAATTTATCGTTTTATATATAACATGCTAGTAATTAGGGTTTGTATGGAAAGACAAAAAACAATACTTAGAAAACCCTAATTCAAGAAAAAATCAAGCATGAAAACAATACACTTTCACACAAGCACCCCTAGGGTAAATCCACTTGGTTTCCTTTACAAAATGGCCATATTACGCATGTGAGGTATCTTAGCAAAAACAAGCAAAATACAAGATCATAGTCCCTCGATGATGCTATCCATGTTGCCTTTCAAATGAGCTTAGTCCCTAAAAGAGAATACTAAGATACCTTGCAACATTGCTAATAATGTTTATACGATGACCCACGCCCGTCCCATTTACATCCAAAGATACACTATGCCAAACAAGGGATTAGACAGCGCTTTTTTAGGCCTTTAACAGCGCTGCTAAAGGTATAGACAACGCTTTTTTTTCAATCACTTTAGACAGCGCTTGGTAAAAGCGCTGTTTATTACCCCCCTTTAGCAGCGCTTTTCCTCATTTTTTTTCAATCACTTTAGACAGCGCTTTCATGAAAAGCGCTGTCTATTACCCCCCCTTTAGCAGCGCTTTTCCTTATTTTTAAAATTTTTTTTTTCAATCACTTTAGACAGCGCTTTCATGAAAAGCGTTGTCTATTACCCCCCCCCCCCCTTTAGCAGCGCTTTTCCTTATTTTTAAAAAAAAATATTTTTCAATCACTTTAGACAGCGCTTTCATGAAAAGCGCTGTCTATTACCCCCCCTTTAGCAGCGCATTTCTCTTCGACCAAATAATCCAACACACCGCCAGCCAAACCACTCTGACCAATCCATATTTTTTGATTGAAAGATGCATCTATTATTGACTAAATAATTCTGATTGTGTGTATTATGTGTCTATGCAGAGGATAGCTCTTGTATACTGTGTTGTAGCTCTACTTCGCAATATTTACTTCATTTTCATCTACTTGCTACTACCTTCTAATTTATATACATTAACTTAGCATTACAAAAGAAAAAACAAACCATTTGCATACATATAATTTCCATACATTATATTTTACAATTACTTCTGATAAACTTAATCATATCATTGTTATATGTACATAGACAAAGGTTCATTCACAAGGTGGAAAATGTCATGACAGCAACCATGGATTAATCACTCCCAACCCATCAACATCTTCCAAACTCCCTCCTCAATCTTGTTCCTCGGAACAGACAAACCCTCCCCTTCGTCGAGCAAGATTCTATAAACTTCCCACTCCCGGTCTCCGATCGAGTGTCTCCCGATTTCAGCCTGTTGAAACAATTAATCAGAATATTAACATAATGACTTCTGAAAAACTATGTCTTTTATTGGTTTTGATGGATGTTTGTTAAAGAAATATATTGACTAAGGAACTAAGCAATAGGAAATATGAAGCAGGTGAGTGATTACCGAAAAGATCCAAATTTCGAGCATTTTGAGAGCAAGTGTAATATCATAAAAAACTAGAGGCCGTCCTTCGCCAGACAACTCGACAGGGTTTGCAACTAGAAGCTCGGTATCAGGGCATCGGCTCACAACAGCTACTCTTAGTGGACGATATAGTTCCGTTCTAAGGCGCGACAACAAAGAACTCTGCTTGTTAGGGTCAACTATCTTTTTTCCATCTGCTTGCATGATGAACAAGTCCATCTCACATTTTCGTCGAGGTTTTGTAGTGAAACGCCCGAACGAAATCTGATTAAGTGACAAATTGCATTGGCACATATTCAATTGATAACAGCATAAGATTAGCATAAAAGAACATTTACTCGTGATGATTTTAAATTTGCATACCTTAATGTTGTAGTCTTTGAGAGTTATCATTATGTCATAAAGAAGACCTTTGTGGTCTTGGCACGTAATTTAGACAAGGGAATGAGCTGGACTAAGGGTGTTGTCCACCGTGATAGAAGTATAATCTGATCGGAGAGTTCCGGTTTGAACTGAATCAGGCAATTCGAAATTATAATCATTTTCATTGATGGCAGATGGAAGGAATGAAGAAGCCTGCGAACAAGAAGAAATTTCCGGGCCAACCAATTCGATGTCCATAGTAAGTACGGAATCCTCCAAAACACCTTTTATCTGTTCGATCGTATCATCCTTTCTCGTCTTTGTATGTAGAAGATCTCTGTTATTATAGATTCATCAAAGGCACATTAAGTAAAACGATAAAGAAGTTTCGGTAGAAGCGAACTAGCATTATAAAGTAGCAAATAGAATATGTAAAAACCTGGTATCTATGATAAAAAAACAGATCCAACACTTTGCCATCGGGTGTAGTGGAAACCTTGACTTTGATAATCAAAAGCTCTATCTCAGACAGAACCGCAGTCTTCCCTGTTCCAGACTGAGCTTGTTGTATAACATCAAGTCCCTTGCAAAATGGAACTATTCCATGTTGCTGAATAGCTGATGGCTTCTCAAAACCTATTAACACAAACCATACTAGTTAAAGGATTTGGCCAGACATTTATGTATCAATAAAAGAACAAAGGCAATGCAAAGAATTGTTTGCACAAAAAATACAAGTGAATAAAAATACATCATGAACAAAGTGGAATGCTGCCACCATACTGGACAAATTTTAAGGACCAAAAGAGTCCACAATTAAACTTCAACTTTAATCAGATAAAAGCATAATTTGGTTTAATAATGATAGAAAAGAAAAGGAGAAAGTAGAAAAGGACTTGAAAAGTTTTAAAATACCATATGCGTAAATGCCTCTGAGAAGGTTCTCTTGCAAGCCCATTGAATTAAAACTTTCAAAAACCTCCTCATAAAAGGTGTAGAAGTCCTGTCCTTCGGTGGTGAGTCTGCAGCAGCGAAGTTATCAAAACAAATTATATTAGAATAACAGAATCACATTACTAGTATTAATATAAAATTAGACAAAAACGTGATTTAATGTTACACTTCAAAACAAGAACAAAGAAATCAAGGGGGTGTCCTTACAACTCATTCATTTTGGTATCAAATTGTTTAGCATCAAACTGAGAACCCTTAGGTGCAACTCCTGCCATGACTGCAAGATGAAAAGGAAAATAATCAACACAATTACTAAAGAATATTCAGTTTGGCATTCAGCCAATACAAATAAATTGTTGTTTACAACTGCACTGATTCAAAGAAGAGTTCAAAGCAATGCTTTGCTAACTTCAGCTATTTTAAAAAAATCCCATTAGTGGACAATGATTTAGCCTAACAATTGAGATATTAATCGCTTATAAAAAAAACTGAGATATTAATCCAATTTAATCATTTTTCAATATTGAAATCTTTTCCTTCCCCCATAAAACCCAAAAAGCTAAATTCGCACCTTATCTCTCTCAACCAAACAAACTACTATCCATATCTTTTTTTTCAAATTCAGAGTATAAAAAAAACTCACTTTAAAATACATGTTCCCAAAACATTAATCACTTTATACAAAGTCACTTCTAATAAAATCAAGTTTGCAAAATCTAATCTTGTCAGAGCCACACAGAGAGGAAAGTCGCACAATCACGGCTTGAAAAAAAAACAATTAAGTAAGAGATAAAATAAAATCAACATGATCTATAATGAATAAAATAGACCGATATTTTAAAATTAAGCATATAACGAAAAAGCAATCAAAATCAGCGTAAGATATAATCAAACTAGAGAAAGCAACGAATTTCATAAAAGTTAGAACAGTATTCAAAAGAAGATAAAAACTGCAAAAATCAAACGGAAATCAAAGCTTTAACAGATCCAATACTCAACAGCTCGATATCAAGTAAATCGATTGAAACAGAAAATGAAAACTCAGAAAATGATCGATACGAATATTCAAAAGAGAAAGAAAAAAAGCGATTGATAGCATCGAATCGGAAAAAGTTAGAAGAAAAAGCTATACCTTAGGATACAAAAAAGTAGATGATCGGAGAGAAAAAGCGAGGTGAGGTTGATGGCGAGAACGGTGGATTAGGGTTTCCAAAACTCCTCAGATCTAAGCGGCGGAGTTGAGGAAAGAGAGAGAGCAAAGAGCGTTTTTGTGTTGTTGCGTGAAGAGAGAATGGGAGGAGACGAATGGAGAAGAAGATGAACAACAATATGGGTTTAATTTTGTGTTTCTGGAAATCTGATTTAGGGGTTAGGGGTTTAGAAATAAATTAACAAACCAAAGGCAGCGCTTTCAAGAAGCACTGCTAAAGGTACCCCCCCCTTTAGCAGCGCTTTAGGCTTACCCCCCCCCCCCCCCTTTAGCAGCGCTTTTAGATTTACACAAAGGCATCACTTTCAAGAAGCGCTGCTAAAGGTACCCCCCTTTAGCAGCGCTTTAGGTTTACCCCCCCTTTAGCAGCGCTTTTAGACTTACACCTTTAGCAGCGCTTCAATGGTAAGATAACAATGTCAAAAGAAAAGAAAATGAACAAGAAAGACTTTTGAGTAGGTAGAATGCTCGTAATTACTTGCTCAATTTCAAAACATCCTTGCTATTATCAAAACAAACACCTACACTTTCAAAACCTCTTACAAAACTTGAAAGCATTTTCAAAAGATCAACATCTTTGTATACATTCTTACGAACAAAAATCATTACAAAGATTGCCTAAACAATGGCCTCTTTACAAAATACTTTCAAAAACCACACAAAGCACAATTTCAAACAAAAGTAAGTGATCTAGCAAGTAACTAAGAGCCCGTGGAAAACCATGGATGAAAAGGGTGCTAATACCTTCCCTTTTCATAATCTACCCCCCGAACTCAAGAAATAATCTCAAAGGTCTTTCCTGTGCTTTTTCACCTTTCCTTTTGGATAAAAGAAAAGTCGGTGGCGACTCTTACTAACCACAACATTTGCAATCAAACGCAAAACCTTCAAGTCAGTTCTCCCACCGTATCACAGAACTGGCGACTCTACTGGGGATAATTCTAAAAGTGGGGTTACCTTAGGGTTAGATCACATTTACATACTTTCTTTGTTTGACTTGTTTGCTTTACATTATGGTTCTTTGTTTGGGTTTGAATCCTCTACCCGGATTTAGGTTACCTTATAGGTAAGTAGCAATACGTTGTGGAAACTGTGTGGGGTATACCGACATGGTCTAAGAAATAGCTACGTTAGTGCAACATATTTGTGGGTACCGGTAGCCCTTGAGTTAATCAAGGAGAATACAGGGCCGCTGAGTGATGTCATGAAGCACTAATGAACTTTTAGAACCTTTACTTGACCAACTTGGCCATTAGGACGTAGTGAGATGACCGACTTTGGTGCAGTCCAAAGTTGGTAGATACTCGATACTACACTCATTGAGGTTTGGTTTTTTGAGATATTTTGGTCGCCATTAAAGAGGCTTGTGCTGAGATAATTATCAAAGAAAAAAATCAGTGATATTGAGCTCCTTAGTGTTGTACCCAAAATTTTCCCCCTAAGATCCCTTCATCATACCATGTTGGTTTATTCACAACAAGATTACACTAGGATTCTTGGTACCCCTACCTACTTTGAGTTTTTCTCCTTTTGAGGGATTACCAAGCACCTTGACTTATGTTCCTTTTGTGATCATGAATATTGTTTTGATTTCCTCATTTAACTAATAAAATTCAATGTTGGCTTTTCTTGCTTATTATCCATGTAGGTAAGGGCAATGAGATTTAATAAGTTACTCCATGGGTTTATGAGTTTATTTCCATGCCCTAGTCAATAAAGCTTGAGATGTTCAAACCTCACCATTGGATTATTTTGGAAGGATTGCCATGGCAAGGTTGCTCTGGCTCATCACATTTCAAGGTTATTATATTTGACTCAAAAGTACTAGGGGTTTTGATTGTAGAAGTTGTCATGTTTGGACAAGGTTTTGTTCCCATTGGTCACAAGAGCATATTTCTCTCAAATTTCAAGATATGTAAGTGCTTTTGGTATCTATGAATCCTCATTATCATCCTCAACAACTTATATTCACAAAGCAAGAATATTGGTACAAGAAGTTTGTTCAAGCTTGTCAAAGTTCTTCAAAGCATTTTCTTGATCTAGGAGCTAGGGTTTTAAACTTCAAAGGAGCATATCTTGCTCACCTTTTGGTATTTTTGAATGATTCCAAAGACATCCTTCTCTTCAAAGGTTTATTAATAAATCACTTCAAAAGTTCCAAAGATTTTTCATGTGGAAGAAACTTGGTGAAGAAGAAAAATTACAAGTTCTCCAGATGAATCCCCAATTTTCCATGTGTGACTTCAAATTATCATAACTTGGTCAATTTTTATCACCTTGAGCCCATTATTTTTCAAAAATTATCTTGAGGATGTGAACTTTATGCCTTCTTTTATGTGTAAAGTGGTAAAATGAATAAAAGTTTCCTTAAAGATGCAAAAGATTATAGGTCATTTCATGAAAATTTGCCAACTTCAACAAGTCATAACTTGCTCAAATTTTGGATATTTTGAATGATTCAAGTTTCAAAAATGTCATTCAAGATATCTACTTCATGCCATCTTTTTTGATCAAGAGCAAATTCCAAGTGGAAGGCCATGTTTGGATGCAAGACATTATAGGACATTTTTGATGAAGAATTTGAAATATTTCTAAGTATGGAAAGTCAACCCTTTTTCTTCAACTTTGACTCAATATAAATTTCAGTTCAAGCATCCATTTAACTCCATTATTTTTCCCATTGTAAAGCTTGTGACCTAATCTTTCTAAAGCATCAAGAATCATGCCTTAAGACCCCTTGAGCTGAGAATGCCATAGTTTCAAAAGTGGTAACTTGGAATTGAAGTTTCCTTGCAAGTCAGAATTTGAATTTCATGTTACAACCTCTAAACCTCAAATTAACACGCGTTTTGGTCTAAACATGATTAGCCAGCTTTCCCAAGTGGATTAGTGCATCAAAACGCAAGAATTAGATGAGTTTTGGTGAAGTTTGGATCACACTTCACTCGTGCATCAGGTTTGCACGAATTCCCTCCAAAATGCATTATTCACTCTTCCTTTTGATCCTATTCGCTTCTCCTATAAATATATGAACTATCCCATTCATTTTCCCAAGCTTGGATAGCCAGAATCACCCTGCCAAACTTGCTCCATAACTCAATTTTATGTAACTTCAAAATCCATTCTCGAGCCGTTTTCAATCCAATTTTTCCATCAATTCACCTTCCTTGATCTTTCCTGAAGCTAACCACATAATTACATTCAAGAATCATGCCCTGTACTGCTCCATAGAAGTCCAGTTTCAGAGCTCTACAACTCAACTTCAATAGGTAGATTCCTTCATCAATTCTTCACAACTCCGATATCATTCTGTTGCCCTCATTGCCTTGGTTTTAGTCGCAACACTTACCTTTTACTGGAAACACATTTTGACCATGAAATTTCAAATCCCTTTTCAAAACTTTCTTTCCAAATTGCTTGAGCTACAGTTTATATAAATTTGGCGCGAGGGTGTGGTTGTCTTCGTCTTGAAGAGACGAAGCAAATGGCATAGGTTTGAGCTTCAGATTTTACAGTTTAAGAGACCTACAATTCGTGATGGCTGGAGGTTGAAGATAACCAACGTGTCATCTTCCAACCAATGAAGGCGCGCCATCTGTATTTTTCGAATCTTGATTTAATTAATGATTTTGTACAATATTCACTAATGACCATGATATGCACAGCGCGCCAGATCCCTTGGATTTGATTACTAACGCGTTTTGACTCTCATCTAATGGTCCACATATTTTACTTTTATTTTCTTTTTATGGTTTTTATATTTTAATTGTTTTAAATTTCAAAAAATCATAGAAAATTCATTTTTAGTCCAAAAAATCTGAAAAATTATGAAAAATATGTTTGATTATTCTCTTTCTGATTTTTATTTTTTCACAATTTAATTTTGTGTTTTGGTATTTTTTATAAACTTTACACTTATTTTATTTTTTTTAAATGTTTAAAAATATTTTATATATTTTAAAATTTAGAAAAATTATGGAATGATCCAATGATATTGTGACAAATATTGGTAACCTTATTTTATTTTTGTTTATGACTTTAATATTTTTTACCATTTTTGTTTAT